AATCCATGGACGTCCTGGGATCTCATGATTGGGCTTCTTGTGGAAGGTTCTTGTGGACTGGACTCCACTGCAATGACTGCTGGCGGCGCGTGCCGGAAGGGAGCTTGCTCAAGTAACTTATCGGCCCTGATCCTCTTCCTCCTCCTCCTCCGCCTCCTCCTCCTCCTCCTTCACCGCCCCCTCCCCCTCCTCCTCCTCCTCCTCCCCTCCTCCTCCTCCTCCTCCTCCTCCTCCTCCTCCTCCTCCTTCTCGTCCTCCTCTCCTCCTCCTCCTCCTCCTCCTCCTCTCTCCCTCCTCCTCTCTCCTCCTCCTCCTCCTCCTCCTCCTCCTCCTCCTCCTCCTCCTCCTCCTCAGGTCCCCAGAGGGCCCCCCAGGTGGTCTACGAGGGGCTCCGCGTGCCGCGGAGTTGATATCTCAGGAGGAAAAGAAACACACAGACACAATTAATCCTCCATTCCCCAGAAAACATGGGAAAATATGGGAAGTGGGGGGGAAGACAGAAACCCAGAACATATGGGAAAATATGGGGGATATTTTTATTTGTGTGTATTTATTTGTGTGTTCCAGTTCCCCTTCAATATCCACGCGCCCACCCGGGTCAGCTACAGCGCGGCCCTCGGCGCGTGCGAGAAGGGCGGGCAGTGGCAGCGGTCGCTAGCGCTGCTCGGCGAGATGCGGGGCGCGAGATTGGAGCCCAGCGTCATCGATGCTACAACGAAGTCGGGTAATGTTCCTCTGCAGGAGGAGCACTCCAAACAAATCCAGAAAAAATAGTCTGGGGGCGATTCGTCTATTGTTTCTGCCCATGCTTGCATTTGTCCTGGCTGTGTTTTAGTTTTCTTCCAAATTTCCCCTGTAGGAGGACATGCCCGACCTAAGGCTACAATTCCATGTCTGGCGCCTGGCTCGCGACCCCCGGCCCAAGCCCGATCCAACGATCGTCTATGAGGTCCTCAGGACGGCCGGGGAGGCCCACCCAAAGACCTCGACGACCCAGCCAGGCAGGCCGCCCGAGAGGGCCCAAGACAGTCCGAGTACGGCAGGTTCGCATCTTGTCGACGCGTGGCGACTCCGCCGCGGGCGTGCAAGGTTGAACGCCGGTGGCTCAGAACTGGCCAATACAGAACGATCCGGCGATCAAAAACCTGCCGATCGTTCAAGCTTGAACGATCAAGGCGGTGTCAGAAACCAGTGCCAGGTTCGTCACGACACGAACTTTCTGTATAGTTTCAGGATGGCCTTGGAACTGGCCGGACATCGCCCCAATCTGGCCCAGCCAGGACCAGAGCCGAGGGTGGTCCCCAGGAGGGCCGCCAGACTTCGCAGGACGTCCCCAGAGGAGGGTCCCAGCCAGGCCACAACCGGCCCCAATGTGAGAGCTAGACTGCACCGAGACGGCCCAACACAACAGTAATCTCCCAAATAGTCCAAAAACAATGCCAAACATAGGTCCCAAACATAAGCCGCAAATAATCCCACCATAATCCCAAAATGATCCCAAAATAATCCCAAGGCGGGCTCAGGGCGCCCCCAAGATGGCCAACACAGTGCCCTGGACATCCCTGCAGAGACCCCGACTGGCCCGAGCAGGAGACCGACACTGTCCCCAGAGCCCCGAGACAGTCACAATGAGACTGCCAGACTCCACCTGCAGCGTGCAGGAGAGTTGTCTCCAGCAGAACACCGAACACCCAACTCGATATAAAACTCCAGTCTGGGCCTAGCACTTGGCATCGCTCGGACGTGGGCATTTTGTTCCGGCGAGGACCAACCAGGAACATCTTGGACCATAGTGTCGACTAGACGTAAGAGTGACCTTTCGCCGGAGTGACCTTTGGTGCGGGCCCAATGGGGTCCCCCGATCGCCGAACGCGAGATGGCAGTGGCGTCTCTTGCGCGCTTGTGTGTTGGCCCCCGCCGCGGCCCCCAAAAAGCCGCGCACCAAAGGCCACTATTACCCAGGGTCACCCTTGCGTGTGGTCGATATTATGCAAACAAAAAAACGCGCGAAATCAAAGAGTGCACAGGGAATGGACGTCCGAGCGATGGCGAGTGGCGAGAGAGCAAGCTCCAGCGAGTTGTGGGTGCACATTTTAGGTGGAGATGGTGGCGCCCGGGTTGCCAGGGAACGGTGAGAAACTCTCCGACGGCCCTTGCAGGATTGCCTGGACCTTTTGGAGACTCGTGGAAGTGAGAGGACTACATACTACTGTACCCATCGGTCGTTGATTGCAGGTATCTTTGAAGCGCCCCACATTCAAATCTACTTTAAGCGCCTTCCTACTTCAAGGATCGAGTGGCCTCACCGTTTCCGTTCTCTTTAGGGGGCGCGGGGACATCCAATCTACCTTCACCGCCTTCCTACTTCATGTTCCTACCTACTTCTTCCGACCGATGGGTACTGACACTTCAATTCTTCGGGGGTTTGGAGTGGTGAGAACCTGTTGCCCCTGCCACACGGTGAGAATATGCTGCCCTTGTCTGAGTTATCCTGATCCGAGAGATCTGAGATAGCCTGTGCTTGGGACAGTTCGAACCCAATGCTCCCGCCAGATGTTCTGGGCCAGGGCAAGCTGGATGGGTCAGAAGACGATGCCCACGCTGCGCTCTCTGAGCCTGGCAGATGTCGGCACCGTTTTCGTGAGGACCAGGCGATTGGGCGAGTGTAGCACACACAGGGGCGTGTGGCTCCGGAAGGCTTGTGAGGATCGGGCACTGCGGCGTGTGCAGCACAGGGCAGGAGATGTTGCCAGCACGCGCGTTATTCCACCTGGTCGGTGCGGAACAGGCGCTCGGGTATGCGCAATTCATGGGGGCACCAAAAGGTAGCGATATGGCTACGCCCTGGACCTCTCCTGGTGTGCGTTCTGACCCGCATTTCGAGGCGAATCCAGCGGTAGCGAGGGTATCGGATGATGCCCAAAAAGGTGACGACGAGGGAAGGGTACTGGTATGGGTAATTATCGTTAACTCTTCTGAACACAGAGCCGATTCGTCGACTGTCGGCGGCACGGCCGCGGGTTGTCGAACTTGATTGCAGGAGCAGGTTGCACGCGGGTCGCTGAAAGTAGGTGGGCCTGGATTCCCAGATTCCCATCCATCTCGAGCGCCTTCCCGCCTCAAGCGCCCACCTGTGTTCCGGTGTTCGTGCTGCTCTTTGGGCGGGCCCGAACCCAGTCTACTGTCGCCTCCTTCCTATTTCATGTCTCCACCCGCTCCCTCCGACTGCCGGGTGCTAGGATGAAGTCGGGCACGTCCCTCTACAGGGGGAACCTACAGGATGAATATTCAAAGATATTCAAACATAGTTTCCTGACTTGTTTTATCTTTGATAGTTCGAATCTTTTTGGCATGTTTTATTTGTCGCCCAAAATCTGCCTGTAGGAGCAGGTCACCCGCAGGCAGCGACTCCACGGGGGCTCGGGGCTGCCCCGGCCCGGCGGGGGCGCTCGTCGGCAGCGGCCTCTCCTCCGGGCGCTCGCTCGGCGACGCGCGGGCTCCCAGAGCTCTTTTTTCTGGGCAGCCTCCAGAAAAGCATTGGGAGAAGGGGGTGATCGGACGGGGCCAGGATTCGGGGGTGGACAAAACCCCCAACAGTGACACGTCGATTAGTGAATTGTCCGTTTTCGGTTCTCGAGAGGGCGCCGTGGCCGTTATTTTCCAGGCTTGCGCCCGCCAGGTTTGGGCCTCAGGTCGTTTTCACTAAACCACGTTTTGCTAAAGGGGGTTCTGTCCATCCCCGAATTAAGTCGGGCACGTCCCTCTACAGGGGGAACCTACAGGAGGAATCTTCGAAGATATTCAAGCACAGTTTCCTGACTTGTTTTATCTCTGATGGTTCGAATCTTTTTGGCATGTTTTATTTGTCGCCCAAAATCTGCCTGTAGGGGGTCATGCCCGAGCTAAGGCTAGGACGAGGATAAAGTCGCTCTCAGAGCGTGCGAACGCTCTGAGAGGGCCGCGGCGCCCCGGACATTTTCCAGAGCCGTTGGATCTTAAAGATTCTCGATTCATCCTCACCCGATGTTATCCTCGTCATGGCTTCGTCTTGGTTGGGGTGGGTGTCGTACGAAACAAATGCTCCAGGTGTGCTAACTGAGTGTTCCGTGCATGTGAATGATTAGCCGTTGCGTCTAATGTGCCAGCGCGGTATGAGGGGCCGGTGAAAGATTGACTTCGCACCAGGGTTGTGTTCCTTGGCTTCTTCCTGGCTGAGTGATCCTGACGACCTACCAGAGCACCCCAACCTAACTCGACGACCCAAATGTCGGGTTGGAGGAGGGGTACGTACGGGCTCCACATGATGTGTTTTGTCAATCCTCCCCGACGCCACCCCCCACTGGAAACGGAGGGCAACTTGGAGCCTTCGGGCTGGGCTGGGGTGGTTTGGTGGGTGGTGAGATCCAGGGGCGCCGTCTTCTCCGATCAGAGCTCTCGGACGGGCCCCGTCCCAGGCTGCGGTCTCTCGCCTTTCGCGGCACGCCCATGGGGCGCTCGCCTCGCGGCCTCATCGGTCTGCAGCGACGGGCGTCCGACAGCAGAGAGACCCTCTTTGCGCGCGCCTTTGACACGCGAGCGCTCCCAGTGCAGTCCCCTCCCTCGACAACATGTTCGGCGGCGAGAGAGGGCGGGAAATGAGGAAGTGCGAGCCTTCTCAGAAAGGCTCGGAGGTCCCCTGGCCTTGTTTTGAGAAGTGTTCGGGGCCTTCCCCGAAGACACAAAACACTTCTCAGAAGGCATGGAGACCTATAAGAAGTCCCGCCGCCTTCCAATAAGGACTTCTCCTTCTCACGTACCCCCCCTGCTCGCCGCCGACAGGTGTCGAAGACACCAGCTCCATGAGCCTGTCATGCTCTGTACCTGCCTGACCGACATCGGTTCTACCCACGGGCTCGTCCTAGCTAGTCAGTCACAGTGCTGGGATGAGCGCGTGCGAGAAAGCTGGGCAGTGGCAGCGGGCGCTGTCGCTGCTCAGCGAGATGTTGGAGGCGAAGTTGGAG